TTTGGGCCCTGACCTTCTGGCCCCTGCCTATGCACTCACACTCTTCTCCCGGCATTCCTCCCCTTCCAGTACCTGCCCAGGCCAAGGCTACCTGCTCATGTCAGGCTCTCTGAGGCCTCAGGCCATTAGTGAAGGCTATTCCTCTTGCCTAGAATGTCTTTCTACATTCTTCAAATGTAAACAGTGGTCACAGAATTAGCTCCTCTCTGAAGCCATCCCCAAACCTTCCAGGCAGTCTGCCACTCTCTTTCTTCTATTTTAGGGAATTGCAGACACAAATGCCTACAATGGGCAGGCAGGTGACTATAAGTTGGTGTAAAATGATCATTAGCATAGATACAAACCCATGATAAATAGCAATAGTCTCTGACAATGGGCCAGGGGACTGGTACAAACTTGAGAGCACATGTCCCTTCTCAAGGAGACAACCTTAACAAGCTGCAGCTCATCACTGTCTAGCACCAATGCCAAGTGTCACCAAATTTCCTAGCTTTTTAAGGTAAGTCAGAAATCTGGATTTTTACATTAAAATCCCATATTTTAAAATGCTAACAGCCAATTCAAACTTAAAGCACTGTAGAGGCCAGCTCTTGCAAGCCAAGTGAAAGACATTAGTGGGCAGGCTTTATTCTGTGAACCTCCGGTGAGCAACCTCTCTTCTACATTTTAACGGAGCATTGTACATAACAGTGGCCAACATATGAAAAGCCCACTACATGCCAGGCCAGTCCTTTTCTAAGTGCTTTATGTGTACCCATACATCCAGTCTTCTTAGCAACCTGGGAGGTGGACACTATTATTATCTCCATTTTACAAAGGAGCCAACAGAAGTTAAGTAGCCTGCTGAGGGTCACTGAGTTGGTAAGTGCATTCCAGTACTAGCAGCGCCCCCAATCTAGTGCTTCTCTCATGATGTCACCTACCAGCCCACAGCTCCTTGGGTTCAGACACCACAGCCACTCACCTTATTTCCTATGGTGTCTGGCCTATGAGGGACTCCTTAACTGTACGTTGAGCTGAACTGGTATGGTATGTAATAGATGTAGTTACATCTTCATTCATTCACTCAGTAAAACATCTGGAGTGCCTACCACTTTTCCTGTAGTGTGGGAGTCCTGAGAGGTGGCCTTTACCCTCCAGGTGCTTGCAGTCAAGAAGCACAAAATAACTATCACTACTGAAGTGCTGCATTGCTAAAGAAGACCAACTGAAATTTTTTACTGAGTACTGATTACTAATTCACCAGATAAAGCAGGAAATACACAATTGAACTCAATCTCTGGGGATCTAGCAATATTTCACAGAGAAGAAAATATGTGGAGAGAACAAAGGAAAAGGTTGATTTTAGGGAAAAAACTTCAGAAAGCATTTCAGAATGTAATACTTATGTGGCAAATGACTGGTTGAAATGGAGCTTAACTGAAGTTCATTTACCAAAGGCAGTTGGTAGAAATGTACCTTCTTTGGTATAGGGACAGACTTGGGAAGGTATCTGAAAAGGTTTCAGAAAATACACCATTTTACTCACTCTGTATGTCTCTTCATGTACAAAAGACAGAAGTATGGAAACACAGGTAGTTTCTCTAAACTGTGTATAGAAGGCAGATTCTACTGTGACATGTAGTTACACATGTGTCTCTTGAAAACAAATGTCTCTTAGGAAGCCTTGCGGGAGGGAGGGACTAACGAAGGGATGATGGAATGTTTGTTACCTTAATGATAGTAATGGCTATACTGATATATGTGTTTGTCAATTAGAAACGCCTCAGGTCCCCCTCTAGATTCCTTCCTGGGTCAGAATCTGCAGTTTAAGGAGCTCCTCAGGTGAGTCTCATGCCCATAAATGTTTGACTTATTATTATAGTGACTGTCTGGAACCTATTTCCCACAGTGAGTTGTTAAAGAGAATTCCCTAATCTATTTTAGGTCACTAAGAGCAACTATCTACAGGACATTTTTTGATGGTTGTTAGGAAGAGGTTTCAATGTGTGATGGGGAGGATGTGGGGATTTTTCAAGAATAGTCAATATGTTAAGTTCCAAAACAATAAAAAATAAGTAAATAATGGTTCATTATATGTTACCTATCTTCCTAACGGTATTCTGTAGGTTTTAATGTTTATACTGTCTAAAAAAATTTGTTTCTGTTTACAAAAGACATTCTTTTTGTAGAAAACTTGGAAAACAATCTAGGATTCCATGAAGTAGAGTTATATTTACCCATCTTGTGGGCACCTCCAAGTTATTGAATACCAGAGGCAGAACACTGAACCAGACACAACGAAATAATATATTTATTGGAGTCCTTGGAGGTTAGACTTTGTGATATGCTTATTTTTAAGGTAATTAAAGCTAAATTTAAAGATTCAAGTTAAATGGAAAAAAATAACTGGGCTTAGAGTTGAATTAGTTTTGAGTCCCCTACCAGAGGTGAGTTTACCATAATGAATTAATGAAACTTAAGCTTCAAAGCCCTAGCAGTGTACTTACCTAGTCAATGTTTCCAAAGAAGTTTCTAAAGTAAGATATGTGTGACCACTGTATCTGCCTACTTTCCATCACTCCTCCTCTGCATTAGGTGATTATAGGGAATGGCCATGGATATGGCTAAAAGGACAATGATTGAATAAAAGATACATTTAACTTGGGTGTAATGGCATGCATTTATGTGGTTTGCCATCATTTCATGTACTGTTAAATTATTGCTCATGTGGGTGTACGAATGGCTTTCTGGAATTACACCTACTGCTCATTGTGGCAACTCGGCTGGCACCATGTCACAAAGGTACAGGGCCAAAGGGCAAAGGAGCTCTGTGATGCCTGGCATAGGACATGCATGGATAGTGGAGGAAAAACAAGATTTGAAAGAAAAGGAGAAACTCGTCCATAGAAAATCCTTCCAACCAACAGAAGTAAAAATATTACAAGTGGAGGGATCAATATTTTCAATTTCTAATCTAAAAACCTAACCTCAAATGGAGGCTCTTACTCATCAGCAAACTACTAATGTCATATATACAATTATAAATGCCCCATACTTATTGTTTTTATGTGAATCATGTAAAATGTTATATATTAGAATTCCTGTGTTTATGGGACACAAATTTGTAGTTGTATTACAGTGAGTCTGTCTGTATGTGAAATCACGTTGTATTCATATTAATGCATCAAATCCTGTTTTAACATAGCAGAAAACTCTTGTCCTGAAAAACGCTGGGGATCCAGTAAGCCACACACAAATGGCCCTGAAATATTATAGCTCATGTGTGAGCAAAACCTTGATACAAATTTTCCCAGATTTGACAATAATCTTAAAAAAAATACACACTAGCAACAGTAATGAGCTGTGAAGCTGAAACATAGTATTAACAATGCTAAAAAAAAAGACATCTATTTTTTTTTATAGAAGACATTACAAATAATTGCCATAGTGATGCCAGAGTTCTTGTTTGAGTTCTTGTTTGCAGAGTTGAAGAATAAACTTAGCAAACAGTCAAGGTAGGAGAGCTAGGGAGACTTTTATTGAGATACAGTGAGGGGACAGACAGAGCTCCTGGCATGAGCCAGGAGGGGGACAAGAGAACCCCTAGTGGTGCATTGTCTAGGGGTTTTATAGGCAGTTGATATTTGGGAACATGAAAAAAAAACTTAGGGGTGTGGACTTAAGTGGTCCCTGAAAATTTAGAATTAACTTAACATAAGGAATTTCCTGCCTTGATTTATCTCTGGGATACTGGCGTCTTGGTCTGGGAGAATATCAAAAGGCCGCCTGCCCAGCCCCCAAGCTGGGCTGAGGTATTGTCTGTTTGCTAAAGAGTAAGTTAAGAATCTTACTTCTTAAACTTCCTGGGTGTTAAAATGCAATCTTATCTTTAAGGTGGAATCCTTCCTGCCTTTTACTATGTTTTTTACAGCTTGGTCTGCACACTAAATTCGTTGCCCAGTTTGCAAAATCACCTCATCAGATCTGAAGGAGGAAAGGCAGCATCTAGGCCTAGGCGTTTAGCATGCTAAGGTGAATCTTGCACATAATTACAAATGATTAACATAATAAAAACATGTGCTACTCTTCTTTATCTGGGGAATATTAACTAATCTCACTGAAGAATGACTCTAGAGCTTAATGTTCAACGCAAGAGTTTTGGTAGGGGGTTTCCTTGCATGTAGTTACATTGCTCTGCCTGTAAATATCCTGCCTTGCTTTTTCCAGAGACCCTCACCCTATTCTGTTTAAGCTCGTGGTCCCTGTCTCAATAAGAAAGAGGGATCAAAAATATGCAGCCAAAAACCTTGGGGAAAATTATTATAAATGGGGCCCATGAAGTCTAAACACTGGTGAATATACATAATGTCAAGGGCATATTCAATCTTTAAAAAAAAAAACCGTTACTTCTTTTGGACACCTATAGAAAGAAGTACGTCAGGAGTTAACAAAACTTTTGTGGTACTTGCCATGTTTCCGAGATTTGAAAACTTCCCAGAATGTCATTTGGGATTTCTTTCTGGTTCTAAGTACATATTCACTTTCCTCCCTGACTTTTTGCATCTAATTTTTTGTGATTTTTCCTTAAAGAGGGCCCCACAAATTGTAAGGGCGTCAGTTCTCGCAAAACCAGGCTCTGCCCATTTACCACTGCCTCAGGGAAGCCACCGAATTTCTCCGCAGCCGGTTTCCTACTTAAAGGAAAAAGCATTTGCCCTGCATTTCCTCAGACCTGCTGTTGTAGGGCCGCCCGGATCGGTGGGGGCGGGGGAGCCGCGACCCCCGCACGATCCTGAGGACGGGGTCTCCTTCCCGGGGTAAGGGGGCCACCCCGGGTCACGGCCCGCCAGCCTGATCGAGGGCCGCAAGAGCTCAAGCGCGGGGATTTGAGCAGAAGACAGCCGGGCCCTGGCCGTGCGGAGGGGAAAGAAGAGACGGGGGCTGCTCCCGTGGGGGCGGAGCGCCGAGCCCAGCCCTCCCCGCCTTCGAGCCTCCTCGGCGGCGGAAGTTCCGGTGTCGGCTAGCGGAGGTCAGAGGTCCGCAGGAAGTCGATACGTGGCCGCCGCCTGTCCCCGCCGAGGAGGCGCAGCAGCGGAGATGGCGGCTGTGCTGAATGCCGAGCGGCTCGAGGTCTCCGTTGACGGCCTTACGCTGAGCCCGGACCCGGAGGAGCGGCCCGGCGCGGAGGGCGCCCCGCTGCTGCCGCCGCCGCTGCCGCCGCCCTCGCCCCCTGGGTCCGGCCGGGGTCCGTGCGCCGCCGGGGAGCGGCCGGAACCCGGGGAGGCGGCGGAGGAGGAGGCGCGGCGGCTAGAGCAGCGCTGGGGCTTCGGCCTGGAGGAGCTGTACGGCCTCGCGCTGCGCTTCTTCAAAGGTGAGCCTGCCGGCCCGCCCGCCACCTCTACCGCCCGGTCCACCGGGCAGTCTCATCTCACCCACCCGTGCTGGGCGCAGAGCTCCGCCCTGGGGGCACCTGAAGTTGGCGCCTGGTCACACCCCCGAAGGGCCTGGACCAGCGGCTCTCCAATCCGAGGCCCGCCTCCGCGAAGTTGCGGACAGTTCACCTGATTGAGCTGCTCGGGTTGTCACGAACCAGGGTAGAAGAATGAGCTCTTTCTCTCCCGGAGGACCCCATTCTGGGGTTGTCCGTTTTACCGTCGCATTTCTTTTCTGTTTCCTATGGGTTGTCAAATCAGACCCAGCCGATTTTTATCCTTTTCTGTAGTGAGCAAATCTTTCATCAGTTCCAAAATACCCTTTCCAGTCATACTCGGACTGGAACTCAAATAGACCTGATCACCTGGCAGTAGTGATGTGTCCCGGAGGAGGAAGTAATGTATTAAGAGAATACATCCCCTCTGGCTTGTCAAACCATGAAGAAAAGGGGTGCCTGCTATGTTCAAGTATCGTCTAGATAGTTAAAATTCTACTTTGCGAACAGTATGCAAGAGTGAATTCTCAAGAGTTGAGGCCTAAAAGTACCCTCTTTGCTTCTCGAAGATTGAATTGTAAAATGACTCTTGCTTATTAGAGCAAGATTGTGATGTGTGGTTTTTTTTTAATTGGGTGATTCGCTAAGCCGAATGGTTGGTGATCCTAGTTACATGATCTTGTCAGTGGGAAAGACTGGTGCCCGTTAGTTTGATTAGAGATGTTTAGATCTCATAGGTTGAGTGAGCAAAGGGAGACTAAGCAAACGAAACTTGAAGAGTGGTTGCTAGGTTTCATATACATTCCAGGACAGCATTGTTTATGACGCTTTTCCCAGAGGAAGTACCTTTTGGAGGACATATTTTGCTAGCTCAGCTTGAGTAGTTCATTGTAGTGATACATGCAAAAGTTACTTGTTTTCTTACAGCATAACTGTAATTGTGCAAACTAATGAATGTCTCTTTTGTAAATTTTTCAGAATATTTGATCATTCCACAGTCATTGCATTTCTTATTAAAAAGTTTACCCTTGAAATATATGTCATTTCACAATGAGTTCAGCTCTCTGCACTAGCTAGCTAGGAAATTGGTAATGGCTAATGGGTTTATATCACTTCACCTTCAGGTCACTGGCATGAATTTAGAGTTTCCTTTGGCAGTGATATATTACCACCTATATAAAAATCTGGTGGTTTCTGTACAGTTCATATAACTACATTTTACTTAAAATTTTTATTACAATGTATTTTCTCAATGTTCAGTAAGATTATATGGTAGCAGAAGAGTGTATAAGAATAAAGAATCAAACTTCTAATCCTAGCTTTTGCGACATGACTAACAAAAAGATAAATAGGTAATAATAAAAAAAATTTCATTTTCTTTCAAATAAGAGCCTGTCTTATTTGAAAATAGTAGTAATATTTTATTTGAAAGAATAATGTGCAGTAAACAACATTGCTTTGGGGTCAGGAAACTCTGGATTCTATTTGCCATGTAAATGCCTAGACAATTTTCCTCTTCTAGATTCGATTATATATATAGCTTGACTAAATGAAATTTGATGTCTCAGATTTAAGATTTGGTCTAAACCTAACCTTATTTTAACATGTTTGTTGAGTGGTGGGACTCCTATGGGAACCTATAATTGGGAGGCCTCATCAGTGACCTTAGAGAAAAAACTATGTTAACAGGGATGGTTCACTCAGTTCCTAAATTAAGCTCTCAAAGCAGTATTCAAATACTTAAAAGGAGAACTACTAGTGTAGCAATTAAAAGCTACCTTTCTGCATGAAGCATTAGATAGTTAGCAGTGAAGAAGCTATTAGTATGTTAGATGCCTAATTGGACAGGAAGTGCTGAAAGGAAGCATCTAAAAGTTGTCAGGAGAATTACGGAAAATGGGGTGAATCAAGTATTGCTGCCTTTGTTTTAATGTGTGGATTTGTCCATTGTAATTCTTGGCATTTTTATCAGTCTTGAGAGGACTTCTAATTGGTCACTCTTTTGTGGTTTTGTATCAGGTATCTCACAAGAATTAGAAATCATTTATCTTATGCTGTGGAGTAAATATGAATCTTGAAAGAATGAATATCTTTTTCCATTGAAAATAACTTGGGTTGGGAATCAGGAACCTTGTTTCTTATTCCATCCCTGTCACAGTGGTCACAGGCCAGTGACTGAATCCATTATGTTAACTACTCCTAATTTTGTGAAGGCAAAAGTGAAATATTAGATGAAAATATGGGTAAATATAAGTTAGAATTTTACCATCTAAATTTTAGACATTATTGAATCCTTATGGATAGAGTGTTATATTAGGGTACCACTCTAAATGAATAGTACATTCCCTTTTGCTATTAAGGAACTTAGAGTCCAAAAGGAGTTAAAGACCCAGTGACAATGCAATGTGAAGTGCACTGTAATGTGCAGGATCCAGGGAGCAGATATTGCAGAGAACAGTCTAGAGCCATGAGAGGGCAAGACATGTGTCTGGGAAATGGCAAATAGGAAGTGGTTTGATGGAGAGAGCTGAAACAGTAAGTCAGTGGCAGATCCGTGGAAGGACCTGAATGTCATGTGTAAATAGCTTTTTTGTAGGTAGAAAGGAGCCTTTGAAGGTTTTTAAAGGAGCAAAATTTGCCCAATTCTAGTTTAGCAAGATTGAGGTGGTTTTCTTATCTCTTTAGGAAGGACTATTGGTTGGCTTTATTGTAGCTTTCATATTTCTGGGATGGAGCTAACCCAGGGAACTGTATTTTGGTTTTTAAAGTTCTTGGGGTGAATTTTTCCTTCTCTAATACTTTATTGCCTCATTACATTAAGCTCGTAGATGGTGGCATTAACCTAACATTCCAGAATAATTGCTACCAGTTATTGAACAGTTATTCACTAAATGTCAGGTTCTGTTTTGAGAGCTATACATACACTATATTGTGTGATCCTCCACAGCCTTTCAGTGAGGGTATAGTTATCCCAGTTTCCTAGCTTGGCCTCAGGCTGGTCAGTTAGTTGTAGTAAGAAGAAAAGTTAGTTTTACGATTTCAAAGACAGTTCTTCCCACTTTCCAATGTAATAATGTTCATTGGAGATGGAAGCAGATAGGACCCTGCTTTTTCTGGTGGTGGTCTGAGAAAAATACTCAAAACTAAAGCTGCCTACCCTGATGCCTTACCACATTTTGGAACTTCTTTAGTGTGTTTGCTTGAAAATATTAAGGGCCAATGGAAAGAATTTTATTGTTCATGTACATGTGATCGCTTTATTGACAGTCTCTTTAGATACCTGGAAAAGTATGAGAACCATGTACTCTGAATTCTCACATACATTGCTATCAGTTTTGAAGTTTTGAACAAAATGGGGGCAAAATCACCTCCAAAGGACTGAAGTAAATGTTCCTGTTCAAATATTGATACACTGGATCCCATTGCTCGTAATACAATATTAGATCTTTTGGGAGGCCTACATTTAGCCACTGTGATGATTTTTTTTTAATCTTGTAAATTGAAAATAGATACATTAATTCATTAGGGATTGAAAAATGGGGATATTCTAATTGTCTTCACTGCAGTACTTTTCCTCATATACTGTTTGGTCTGGGTTACAAATTCAAATGAGAAAGGGTAGGTTAATGCTTCTTTCCCCCTTTTTATTAGTTTTTCAAGATTTTCTCCTTCGAGTTGTCTCCTTCACAGCCTTGGAAGGTAACAGTTTTTTGTTTTAGGTGTGCTTATTTTTTTTTAATTGAGGTGCAATTGATAAACGTTCTTACATTGGAACAGTTTTTTTAAATGTCATTTTGTACTCATGCTTTCAAACATAATATACATATATTTTTTAGGTTATTGATGCTTAACTTGAACCATCTTTGGCAAGGGGGAGCCTAAGTTCCTTTGACATGACTAGTAACCTCCCAGGGCTACCCTGCTGTCTAGTATGATGAGATGGTCCAGGTTCATCTTAGACATTTCCTGCCTCAGCAGAAATCAGCCATTTCTCCAGGGAGACATGATTCCTTTTAGTGGGAAGAGACATTTGAAGATACATAGTCTGGGTAATAGGAGTGGTACTCATTGCTAATGAATTGGTCATTATTTCTAGTCCTTTTTAGGAGTCAGATCTAGGGGTGTGTGTGGGGGGAGAGTATTTTGAGGATAATATATGTAAAAGGAAGCTCTGGTTGAATTTGGAGGAACTTAAGTCTTGAACTCAGTTTGTTTATGGAATTGTTAATGCGTTTCTGAGGGCATTGCTGTTGATTTCACTCAGTTATACTACTGATAGCAAAGAAGCAGTCATATAGACATGCTGAAGCAGTTCTGTTTCCTTTTGTCTTCTTTAAACATACAACCTTATGAGAACATTTATAGATGGCCCCTATTGGTGTTTTAAAATACTGTACAGCTGTAATTTATTCTTTGGTAACATACATAATTATTGTGTGTCTCCTGTAAGTGTTCCGGCCTCACATAATTTCAAGTTGAACATGTATTAAATTTTGAGCTTATTTTTCCCTTCTTTATTGTCTTTACTCTTAGACTTTAGTATAGGAGAATGTATAGACCTAAGAAACAGTTGTAAGAAAGAAAATCAAAGCACCAAGTAATGCCTCTCAAACATTTTATTTTTTAATTTGCTAGTTCATCTTAAATCTGAGCTTAACTAAAGTTTTCCTTTGAAGACTGGATTCAAGGATATGTTTATACAGTTGATCCTTAAACAAGGTGAGGATTAGGGGCACTGACCCCCTTTGTAGTTGGAAATCCACATATAACTTTTTTTTTTCTCTTCTGTTTTTTTATTTTGGTATCATTAATCTACAATTACATGAGTAACATTATGTTTACTAGACTCCCCCCTTCACCAAGTCCTCCCCACATACCCGATTATAGTCACTGTCCATCAGCGTAGTAAGATGCTGTAGAATCACTACTCGTCTTCTGTGTAT